CAAATGTGGGGCTGAAGATGGTCCAGTGGTTAAGAACCCTAGCTACTCTTCAGAGAACGAAGGTCCACTTCCCAGCACCCCTATGACAACTCAAAACCATCTATAACTCTAACTTCGGGGCATCCAACACTCTTCTAGCCACCGTGGGTACTGTACACACATGGGGCATACAATGCAGACAAAACACTCATTCAAATAAATTTAGCAAACTCTATACTATAAAACAGCTACAAAAACTGTTATTAGCCTAATGGTATCCTCTAAAGAACCTTGTGAAAACCCTAGTGCTCTCTTATACATGGAAGATAATGTCACAAGATCTAGGTATGATCCAGAAGCTTAATCAAAACTGTAATGAACAGTGATTCTGTCCAAAACTTCAGGTTTTCTTCCCTAGCTCTAATGGGAACTGACTGGCAGTATGAACAAACAAAAGCCTTGTTTTTTGACATTTGCAAAATAAAGACACTTACACCACCCGTCTCAAAGGACTTTCTCAACAAATAATTATCGTGAAACTACCTACTTAAAAAGAAATCAACATATAAAGATCTTCCTTTTTTCCCCTTTTCTTTAAATAACCCAAACTGAATTAGGCACTGTGCTAAGCATTAACAGGTGCTTAGGCCAAACAAATAACCATGGCTGTAATTCTTTAGTGCCCAGCAGTAATGTAGTTGTAAATTATAATAATGTACAAAAGCACTACACAATGATGATGATGATGATGATGATGATGATGATGACGATGTGCCACTAACACATGAAAAAATATGCAAACCGTGACACCTTTGGGGTTCCTGGAAGATTTCATTAGACATTCATACCTGAATTAAACACTTAAATACCAAATTTTTCCAGATGAAACAACAGAAAATATAATTGCATATAAAAGAAAAACAATTTATGTTGACTCACAAAGGTATTTCAGAACACAAGTATTTAGGGAATTGTAAGTTCAACTATACTACTATGGGGGCGTGGCTAAAAATGGCAGTGTCTAGGAATGGGAGTAGAGAACAACATGAAACAAAGAAACTAAAGGCAGGGAATATTCTTTAGAAGGATGGTATGTGTGTGTGTGTATGTATATAAATATACAAATATATACATATACATACATATGTATATATATATATATATATGTGTGTGTGTGAGCATGTGTGTGTGTGTGTGTGTGTGTGTGTGTGTGTACACCCATGAAGTATTTTTTTCTGGAATTATAGACAGAGCTTAATTTAAGATATGCATATCACCTAGGTGGAGCTGTGCAGCAAACACAAATGCTTGATAACATAAAAAAAAAAAGTCAACACTTGAAATTTAGATTTGTAGTGAGAATATGGGTGAGATTTCCAAGGAGGTGGTGGGACAGGGATGGTAGGATGCTGCTAGAAAATTTAATTGCCTTTCCCATTTTACATAATCAAAATGGAGAGTACATGAAGAAAAACGAACTGCAAATTTATTTTGATTTTACAATTAAGTCATCGACCTAAGTAAGATTTTCATTTGTGAAGACTTTTGGGGTATATTATTTACTGATATATATATCACTCTGTAGTATTCCTTCTCCTCTTATTGTCATGGTTACAGTTTTGTCTCCAACCTCCCAAAAGATCCTCAGCATTACCCAGAAACTGCAGTACAATAGGCCAGAGACCCCCTTCTCCCAAAACACATTTCATGTTTTAAAGTATATGAAATAAAGCACTGTTTCTATCTATAAAATGACAGCCATTCTAGATTTAGGAACAATAATCCATTCTCAAACTCCCTCAACAAGTGGCAAGATAAGAGTAGCCACTAGATGGCAGCATTGCTTATAACATATTCTGCCTGAGAAGAATGTATTAGCAATACCACCCCCACCCCATCACACAGAAATGCAGCAGACTTTGGTTGTTATTTAAGGAAGTTTTATTTTGATAATGGCAATGTTTAGAAACATAATAGGTTATGTATGCTTGTTATTTGTTTGAATACTTTGTAGGAACTATGTAGCATTTTGGGTTTTGGTAGTTTTGTGGGTTGAATCCACAGCCTCCAACATACCAGACAGGTGCTCTACCACTGAGCAACACTTTAAAGCCCAGGGTTTATAAACGTAAAGATTCATTCTTTTTTATTTTATACGCATGAGTGTTTTGCCTGTATAAAATCAGCAAGTGCTCTCTGTGTGTGTCCATGGAGAACAGAACCAGAAGATGGCATTAGATAGCCAGGAACTAGAGTTCCAGATGGCATTGAGGTACCATATACCACTAGAAAACAAACCTGGATCCTCTGCAAGAGCAACAAGTCTTCCCAATTACTGAGCCATCTCATCCAGGCCAAATTTTGGAAATGTGAAATCCATCATCCATATTTCCAGTCATGAAACTCATTAACTGGCTTAACCAAGACTTCAGAATGACACCAACACAGTGGCAGAAGGGCCACCAGAGGCCATTTCGAGAGCTAACTAAGCTACAAATCATGTCTGAGGATGACCTGAAATATATAGTGAGACTGTCTCAAGAAACGGTATTTTACAACTGGATAAGGATAACACAAAAGACTACACCCAAAGTTTCTCAATTTAGGGCTATAGAATTTATTTTCTTCAAACTTCAAACCAGTAATACATGTGCTGTTATAATTTTTTCCTCTAGAAAAAGCAGATTTTAATTTTTGTGGAAATGGCTTTGTTGTCCTAAAAAGACATATAGATATATGTAAATGTAGCTGTACAGTATTTTTTTCTGGAACTCTATTCTAAACGCATAGGGGTATCTTCAACAAAAAGAACTTTTAGCTATTAAAGGTAATTATGTGTATTCCAATATGGATGAAACAGAACAAGAAAGGAATTACATTCGAGTATGACAGATAAACTGCATCAAGGACAATATAACTACAGTGAAATATCAAGGGATTAAGAAAATATAATCCTTAAACAAATAACCCCCAAAGAATAGCCAGATTAATCAGAAACTTAAAAATCTCTATTCAAGTGAAATTTTAGATTAAGAAACATTAAGACCATTTTCTTTGCAAACTCTATGAAAAGGAACATTACTATCATGTAAAAATATTTAAAAATTTAGAACCAGACACAGAGACATACATCTTTAATCTCAACACTTAGGAAATTGAAGTAGTTGGGTCACTGAGTTCAAGGCCAGTCTGGGTTACATAAATACAAAATATAAAAATAAGAAAGAGTTGAAAACCTGAACTATACTCCTTGACACTGTCAACACACCTTAGTGTCATTCAGTCCCTCACACCAGCAAAGACACACTAGAATGTGTCCAACAACAGAGGAACTGATGAAGAAGTATGGCATATATGCACACAGAATACCATTAAGGTGGGCAGAGAGTTGGGGGGAGGATCTGGGGGTTGGGGAAGTGAAAAGAATATAACCAAAACATTGCATATGAAAAAAATCTAATAAAAACTAAGTTATAATACTGGGCAGTGGTGGCCCACACCTTTGATCCAGAACTCAGGAGGCAGAGATAGGTGGATCTCTGTGAGTTCTAGGCCAGTCTGGTCTTCAGAGTGAGTTCCAGAACAGCCTCCAAAGCTAAAGAGAAACCATGTCTCAAAAAACCAAAAAAAAAGTTATAAAAAAAATAACAAACACTGTGTTGTTCAATGTTGTGACAACATGATGAACCTGAAAGACATTAAGTAAATAAGCCAGGCACATAAGACAAAGATCACATGATTTCACTTGCATATAGAATCTAAAAAAGTTCAACTCAAAAATGTACAAGCAAGAGTGGATAGTTGCTAAGAGTTGTGTGTTGAAGATTGAGAAGTGGTCAAAAAATATAAAATTTGCATTTATATGGGAGGAGTAATTTCAAGAGATCTATCAAACAACTTGATGAACATAGTAACAATTCAGTATCTTCTTGAAAATTACAAAGAGATTTTAAGTGTTCTACAAAAGTCATATGACATTAGCTAATTAGCCTAATTTATCCATTCTACAATGTCAAAGAGTTCAAAACAATTTATTGTATATAATTTTATACACCAATTAAAAATAATTTTTAAAAAAGGTAACATAATTCAAAGAATTTATAATTACACAGATATATAAACCCAATGAATTCCAGAGCTTATTTACAAAAAATCATTATTTCAACAAAATATTTTATTTTGAAAGTCTGTATTAATTCTAATAAGAGTCCTATTTCTTTACCACCTGACACAAAGGGAGCCAATCAGATACACACCCCAACTTTAGCCAGAGAAGCTCCATCTTTCTCTATCTTATACACTGAACTTCCTCACAACTGCTTGTTTAAATAGTTCCAGGTAGTTGGAAAAAAACAGACTACTGTAGATGTAAGTAAAACAAAAACAAAAAAGGTGAAGTCTAAAATAATAAAACAAAGTTTTAGGATTTAAATGTATTATTTATAAAGCATATCCCATATACCAAACTTTATTACTAAATACACAATTAAGAACCTTAATGTCTAGATTCTGCACTAGAAATTTAAATATTGGTTTTTAAAAAGTTCAAGTTCATTGCAGTCATATTTAAAATTATACATTTTAATAGAAATTTTAAAATCCACAATTTAAAAATCAAATTTATTTAAAAGTTTAATATATAAAATTATTAAAATTAAATCAGCCAAACCAGTTTTTTTCTTTATAATTATTCAGGAAACATAAATACCTGTGTTAAAACAAACAAACTAATCAACCAACCAACCAGGGCTGGAGAAATAGGTCAACAAGTACTTGCTTTTTCAGACTACCTAAGTTCAGTTCCCAGCATCCACATGGTAGTTCACAACCCTCTGTAACACCAGTGTCAGGGCATCCAAAGGACTTCTGACCTCCACGGGTACAAGACATACATGTGGTAGACATGCATACGAGTGGCCAAAGACATATACAGAAAATGAAATTTTAAAAATTACCATTCTAAATATAGCTCCTAAAACTGAACTTCAGGCTTACCATAATACATCTCAAAGTATTCTTACCTTTCTTCTGAGCTATATAAACGAGCAAGTCCAAAATCTGCAAGTTTTATCTGTCCTCTGGTAAAAATAAGACAAAATAAAAAAGCATTAGTCTACCATGAATCTGCTAATATATACTTACAGTCTATTCCTAGTGCTCAATTAAGACACATTAAAAACAAAAATACATACAAATTCTTTCATTGAACTGCTGTACTACATGCAAGGTTAACTAGTGGAAAATGTACAAAGCAAATTTACAAGTTAACAATTACCATTTTGCTTTGGAAAGTTTCTTTTTATCATTATGCACCCATTCAATCATCCATATTCACAGGTTCTTAATTTTCAGAGTTCAACCAGCTGTAGATCAAAACTGAAGATGTACACTCTTGTATACTAATATTTCCTACACAACAGTGTACCAACTAGTAATAAAACATTTCATTTTTAATCTAGACAAACACTATTCTATTTTAGGAAGGACCTAAAGATCCTAAAAGGATGCAGTGATGAGAGTAGTCTTAGAAACAATGCCCCAAAGGGGCCCAGTACACAGTTACTATTTCAGTGACACTAGTGTGATGATGTGTATGAGGCGCTGCTTCAGTCTCCACTTAGCAAAGTACCTCAGTGATACCTAGGCATAGGAGTACTTACTTAAGTAGATAATACCCAAGAACCAAGTCTGAAATTTATGTGTAAACTGACTATTGTTCATTAAGCAAGAAATCTAAACTATAAACTGAATTTTACAGGTAGTTACATATTACATTAACACTTTAAACATATAAAGTTCATATCCATACCTATTATTTAGAAGGATATTGGAACATTTAATATCTCTATGCAAAAAGTTCTTCTTATGACAATAATCCAGACCTTCCATGAGCTGTCTCATAAAAGATTTTATATGGTTTTCATTAAAATGAACCAAGCCTGATTCCAGTAGTCCCATTAGATCATGGTCCATATATTCAAACACCAGGTAAAATGCACCTGAGAATGAGAACAATTAACATATTAAAGGCTTTTATTCCTAGAGTCTATCTAGAGGCTCAAAAATTTTTTAATAAAATGCTGACTGGTATGGGGGGATTATCCTTGAAAACAATAGCTACTTTGTCACATATTTGTAAGACTTAATTATTCTCTCAATACTTAATATCAAAAAATGTCAAGAAAACAGCAAAAGCATAAAGAAACCCATTATGATACAGATCAAGTATGCTGATTTCCACATTTTACAATTTTTGATCTTAATAAATTCTTACAATATCAGACAAATTGCTTTTCAGTATAAAGTGAATAAAATCTGTATGGTTAAAAAAATTAAAAAGTTATTGAGAAAAATGCTTTTAAGATAAGGATGTGAGCCCAAACAGACCAAAATCATCATTAAATAGCTTCTTCTAAACTTTCTACAGACACATAAGTTGCTTATAAGACTGTGTGAAAGCATAAAAATTACAACTTTACCTTATACAACCAGCGTTTAAAAATCTTAATAAAACTTACACGAACTGAATCCAAAACTATATAAAGAAATAGTACAATCAAAGCTTTACAGAGTGAGTTCCAGGAAAGCCACAGCTACACAAAGAAACCATGTCTTGAAAAAGAAAAACATACATACAAAAAAAAACTAACAAAAGCCATGCCATCATCTGTGAAAGGAGGAAAACCAGCATCGTGACAAAGAAGACACCACAGTTCATGATCAGCTAACTTTACATAGAGCAAAGAACCTTTAAAAAACGATGCAATCGAAGAATACTTTCTAAAACTTTATTATTGTACCTCTCTGAAGACAATGGGGGGGGAGAGAGCACTCATATTTAATAGGAAAATACTAGGCATTTTGAGACAAAATCATCATGGTTACTAATTCTGTGTAGACATTAATATGCAAAATGTAAGATATAGAAGGAAAATATAATTACAGTTATTAGTAGGTGAGATGACTATCTTCCTAAAATTTTAAAAGAATATAGAAGTCAGTTGATTAAGAGAAAAGCCTATATGCACAAAAAGCAAACTCATACATACAACCACAATCCATTAAAAAGAGGTTTTAAGGGTCAAGGAGATGGCTCAGTGGCTAAGAGTGCTTGCTGCACAAACCTAAAAACCAGAGTTCAAATCTCCAACACCCATTCAGCAAAAGCTGGGCATGGTTGTGAGGGTTTACAATCTGTATTGCGGACAAAGACAGGCAGACTGAACACTCACTGGCTAGCCAGCGTACTTGAAATGGCAAGCTTCAGGTTCAATAAGAAAACCTATTTCAAGGAAATAACTACATGGATATAACAGGACCCCTTCTTCCTTCTCCAGCTTCCACATGAGCACACGTAGGCACATGTACACACATACATATACACATACAAACACATGAATACACTCACTCTGACAAAAAAATTTTAATGATACAATAACAGAAAAATGCAAATGACAACTAAATTGTAACAAGAATTAAACATCAAGACAGAAAAATCTAAAACGTAATTTCAATAAAAGGACTGTTTTAGGTTTTATTCTTTTCCTGAGAGAAGGGGTGAACACTTAACTTGACAAAATAATAAAATTCACCTTGAAGAAATTGTATCAGATCATCACCCAAACACTGCTGAAATACACCCTTTGCCATACAAGAAATCAATATGCCCTGTCCATTCTTAACAGAAAGACAGAACTGTGCATAATAAAAGACACACCAAAAAACAAATTACAAATGTTTACCCAATAGTTATGGAAACAGCAATTTCAATTTTAAGTAAAAAAAAAAATGACAGAAAAAACTGATTTAGATAAAATTATAACCCACAGGGAGAGAAGCAGTTACATCAAAGACAAACTAATGAAAATGTAACTAACAAAGTCAGCTAAACAATGATTTAGGAATTCTACTGGAAGACAATATAGAACCAGTGGGAGAAATAACAACTGGGAAAATACTGTCAGCAATATAGCAAAGTAAACATCCTTAATATTAAAGAATGCCTTATAAACTAGTACAAAAGAAACCCATCCCACAGAACAAGATGAGAAATAAAATAGATGATCAGGTGGACACGATGGCATAGCACTTTGGAAGTAAGAAAAAGATCAGAAGTTCAAAATCATCCTCAGCTCTGCATTAGGTTAAAGCAGAGCCTCCAATATTCAAAAGAATGTCTGTGTCCAAAACAACATTAAATATACTTCGTCTCACTAATACTACAAACAATATACCATTTTAACAAAAAGATTTCAAAAACAGTGTACAATATTAACAAAGGTGGGGGTAGCATAAATACTTAGAAGATACGTTTAATTTCCAATTTCACAGCTCACAGAGTAAGCCACTAGCTACAGAGCACTTGTGGCTAGTCCAGAAAATTTTAAGTATAAAATATGTACCAGATTTCTATTAGTTAATATAAAATATCTCAATACCTCAGGAATATGCTACACAACTAGGTATGATATACAGGCATGCAATATACAGAGAAGAATCTCAAATGCAAGGTGAAACTGGTTTATACAGCAAGACTTTGTGTCAGAAAAATAAACTACGAATAATAATTAAGTAATAATTAATGGCTAATAAACTAAAGATATGGCTCAGTGGGTAAAAGTCCTTGCTGTTCTTGCAGAAGACCTGAGTTCAATTCCTAGAACCCATTATCAAGTGGCTCTCAACTGTCTGTAATTGTAGCTCCAAGGGATACAACCTCTTCTGGCTTCCATGAGCAACACACACACAAAAACAAATACTGTAATAATAATATATGCCAAATTGATTATACACGGAAATAACTTAGTAGACACTGAATTAAAAATTATTAAAATTAGCCAGGTGGTGATAGCTCGTGCCTTTAATCCCAGTACTCTGGAGGCAGAGGCAGGCAGATCTCCCAGTAGAAGGCCAGACTAGTCTATAAAGTGAGTTCCCAGACAGCCAAAGCTACTCAAAAACCCTGTCTCAAATAACAAACAAAAAAATATTAAAATTGATTTAACTTCATCTGTTTCATTCTGAAACAAACTCACTAGATAACATTTCATTTTGAAGTAAAAAGCTTCCTGTTGTATTTCTGTCAAGTAGCAATAAATGAGAGGAGTAAGAACTGGAGTAAGACAAAACAATATTCTGCTCTCAGAAACCATAAAATTCAGTGAGAAATCACTAGAAACAATAAAAATTCAGAAAAATAGTAACATACAATAGTCATTAATACTGGCTATCAGTTATAAGAACCCATTAATAATAGCTAATTAAATTAAAAATATGCAAAATTTAAAAATTCCTTTATGAGACACAAAAGCATGCAGACAAGAATATGCAAAGGAATACAAATGCCAATCTTCCCAAATTAATTTGTAAATTATGCAAAAGCCCAATTTCTAAAATTATTAATGTTGTGCTTTAATAATAAAATGCCCCATAGGCTCATGTACTTGAACATCTGATGCCAAGTTACCAGACTGTTTGGGATGGTTTGGGAGTAAGAACAATGAAGGAAGACTTATAGCCTGGCCTTACCTTTGGATAAAATGTGATCACTCTGCTTCCTTGATGCCATGCATGCCTTTCCTGCCATGTTGGACCAAATACCCTCATGAACTGTAAACCAAAATATATTCTTTTTTTCCCTAACTTGCTTTTGGTCAGGGAATTTTATCACAGCAAGAAAAGTAACAAATATAATCAGTAAAAAAATCCCCCTGAAATGTAGATCATACAGAAAAATAACAGAAAAACAAAAGCATCTGAAAGAGAAAATATATATAAGCAATGGCTGGCTCTACATCCTATTTCTAAAAATATTTTATTTTATTTTATTTATTTATATTGGGGGGGATTTCGAGACAGGGTTTCTCTGTGGTTTTGGAGGCTTTCCTGAAACTAACTCTTGTAGACCAGGGTGGTCTCAAACTCAGAGAGATCTGCTTGCCTCTCCCTCCCAAGTGCTGGGATTAAAGGTGTGTGCCACCACCGCCTAGCAGAGGACCTGATTCCAGATCCCCAGCACCCATGTAAAACCCAGGCAATAAGGCACATAATTGTAATACCAGTGCTGGGGAGGTAGATCCCTATAGTTCACTGACCAGCCAGACTAGCTGACTATAATGAGAAATCCTGTCTCAAAAAACTAAAGTGGAGAGCAATTAAGAAAACACCCAGTTTAAGAAAGAAAGAAAGAAAGAAAGAGAGAGAGAGAGAGAGAGAGAGAGAGAGAGAGAGAGAGAGAGAGAGAATAGATGATAGTCACCTCTGGCTTCCATCTGCATTTAACACGCCCCCACAAACAGGTACCTACACCCCAAATACACCCACCTATCCACCCCACAAACAGTAAAGAGAGGGAGATAGAGACAATGTAGGATAACCCACTAAACAGATATAATGAGGTAAAAAATAGTCTGTCCTAATAACACCCACCAACATGAAAGCATTCTAGAACTAAGAAACAAAAACAGAATTATTTGTTGAAAATAATTACTTATGCTGAAAGTAGAGAAAAATACCCCTAACCAGCAAAAAATAGTAAGAAGACAAATAACTGTGATCACTATCTCTAAATCAGAAAAACAGTCAGATATAACCTCAAAATAAACCAATGAGAAATCTCCATGGGGGCTCAGAAGGTAAAGGCACTTGCCAAGCAAGTCCAAACATGAGAGGTAGATCCCCAGAACCCACAAAAAGATAAAAGGATAAAATCAACTCCACCAAGTTGTCCTCTGATCACATGTGCACCATAGTTATATACCCCCAAACCTACATCATGTATATAAACAATGATAATAAATTATAAACAAAAGCAAAGAAATCCCCATGGGAGCCATTACCAAAAGGAAGGCCAAAAATGTAACCAATGAGCTGGAAACCTAGTGTAAATTAAATTTGAATAAATGGTAAGAGGATAGACTTAGCCAAGAGAGGTTCCTAAATAGGAATGACAACCTAAATTGGATCCCCAAATGCAACAAGGTGCAGGAAAAGAACCAAC